TCAGCACGAACTTCAGATAGAAGTGAAGCATTAGAATTTCTCCACGTTTGACCTGTAGCTTGTTCTGCTAACCTCGATCTTGATTGGTTGTTGTTGACATTTGACCTGTCGTTGTTTGCAACTATGTTTTGATTGCCTCCCTCTTTTGATCTGTTTCTTGATCTAGTGTCACCTATGATTTTCCTGATTGGTTGATAAATTGGGTCAATGTCGATGTGTTTGTTGATTGCTAATTGACCTGAGTGCCAAGCTTCTAAAAATTCTCTAGTGTTCTTTGTCCTCCCCCTACCTAGTATTTCCACGTTGTTCCAATCAAATGTGTGTCCATAATTGTCGGTGTGTATTGATATAAGCGAAGCGTTGTCGTGGCGTTTGACTGCTAATTGATGTTCACGTAAACGGAGCTGAAGAGGTCGTCCACTTTGTCCTATGTAGTGTTTTTCACAATTTGAGCAATTTATTTTGTAGATGATATTTGGTTTTTCTTCCTTTGTCATTTTGTCCTTTGGTCTACATAGGATTGACTGAAGTGATTCCGTTGGTTTGTGTGCCACACCTATTCCAAATGGTTTCAGTAGTCGTGCCGTATGCTCTGATATGTCTTTGATGTATGGTAGGATGATGCGTTTATTTGTTCCTGTGCTTGATTTCACTCCTGATGATAGTTTTGGTTGATGTTTTTTGATGAAGTTGCGGCATTAGAGTCATCGCTCAAAACAACCAGCTCAGAGAACAAAACACCACCACAATCATCCACCTGAGCTAGAAGTTTTCTCCACCATCTCAAAACAGAATTTTCTGCCATGCAGACATGGGTAGACTGACTTTATCGCCACACCGTCATGAATGCTGGTCAGATACACCACCCTCCTTTCGTAACAGTAACAGAGCTTTAAGATAAATGATTTGTTTGAAGAGTTCCATCAATAAATTCACCTGCATTGTTTCAGGGAATGGTGCCGTTGCCGTTCTCGGGTAAAGGAGGAGGGATGAGAATGTGGCCGGCCAACCAATCTCATAGAAAAAGAACCTCGCTAAAAACACCCTAACCAGTAAAAGTAGCTTAAACCATTTAAACGCCGTCTTGGCAGTCGGAAGGTTTCCATTTAGAAGAGCCATGACATATCATGATCAAAGCTGAGTTTCTTTGTAGGTCGCGAGGCCGATACCTATTCTCACAATCAGAGAAACCACTAGAATAGGTACTTGAAATGTTCGTACATTGTGAGGGGCCGAAAGCACCATTAAAGTTGCTGCTAGAATGTAAGGATATAACCTGTTGGTGATTGGAGTAGGTGAAACCCATTAGACAAAAAATGGACAAAAATATTAGTTTTAGTACAGAAGCTGTCATACTCCGAACATAGTGAAGAGCATGCCTCACACGCACACGGAGTAGCATTGACACTACTCACAGAAACCCAAAATGCAATCATGGCATGAGAATCTCGTGGATCTAGGATCATAAAACCCCTTTCAAAGCAAAGAAAGAGGGGTTAAATGGAATATCGTTCAGTGATATGCATCTGCCAACGATTACACTGGAGATGATAAAGATCAATTCCGCGAGAGACTGCAGTCAACAATCGAGAAACGCCCAAAAAAGGACTTGAACATTCTGATAGGGGACCTAAACTCCAAGGTTGGAATGAACAACGTTGAATTTGAGTACATGATTGGACAACATGTACCGTGACATAGGGACGAAAATGGTGACATGTTTGCAAGGCAGTGTGCCTTTGACAAAATGATTATAGGCGGAACAGTATTCGAACACAAACACGAAAAGCCAAATCTATCTCACCGGATCACACTGTGGAGAACCAAACCTATCGTTTCTACCTCAGTAAATTGTTCACCAGTTCCATCGAAGACAAAATACAAAAAGAGTAGAGCCGACATAGTTTCGAAAGCATAGCGGAAAGCTAAGTATGGTTTTCCAGTGGGATATTGAGTTGTCTCTCTCAGCTCTCACTCAGATCTTTCCCTAGAAGAGGAAACAACAACACCGAACAACTACAGAGGTCTTGAAAAAGCAATTAATTGAACACGTCATAGGGTTTAGCGTTAGAGGTGATGAACATCAATATGTCAAAGTCCTTTCAGTAGCAGAAGAAAAAACGCCGACAGAATTAAATGAGAGGTGAATGTGTCATTCAAAGAAGTTGTCCGGAAAATGAGTTAAACCAGAACAATCAATTTTCGGGGTCAAAGATCGAAGAATTCGGCGGGTGAAGTACTTCGAAGAACTGTTGAATGGATCAGTCACATTGAACCCACCAAAAACCCAAGATGCACCTACAGACCTTCCTATAGTTTTCACCACACTAGTAGTAAAAGCAATCATCATGGTCATCCGACAATCCAGGCGTGAAAAACAACGGGACCAGACAGAGTACCAGGCGACGCGACTTCCCCGAATATGAGAAAGCATTTAACAGTATGAACAGAAGAACCTTATGCTACATTGTTCGGCGGCACAGCGTATATTGGGATATCGGATTAGCATCGGATGACGGTAAGTTACTGGGTGACAAGGTTTCAAAATGGAGAGGTCCCAAAACATTGTCATGGAGAACAGCATTATTTGATTGAGACTTGGTATCTAACCAGATTAAAGTTGATGAATAACAACACTTATGGGCAGTTGGTGACATATATGTTCGCAGATGTCGCGTTTCATTCCATATTCACCACACACGCGATACAACGGTCAATTATGTTGACGGCAATCAACAGCCTGTTTTCAGGGAAAGTTACTGCCGTAAAAGTTAATAACTGATTAGAAAGAAGCTGAAGATGACAGGTTTTTACAATGAATGTAAACACCGAGGTGTTTTGGCCAAGAAAATTAACTAATCGTAACCAAAATAATCAGACATGAAAAATGTCCACAAAGTGAGCGCGGGAAAATACAGAAGTGAACGGCAACTGTTGATGCACGCGTGTACCTATAACAAAGGACCTTCATTTGGTGACAGTCGAAACAAGAGTAAAAATTTTTTGTAGTCTCAAATAATGTTGAAAGCTTCCCTTTCCAGTTTTTATCTAAGCATCTGGTGAGATGAACGTGACAAGTGCGGGTTGTTTAAAAACGTAGAAAGATAGCTTCAGTCTTAAGAATCCCGATGTATCATCAGTAGATAACGCAACCTCCTTCATCAATCTATTATGATAGGATCTACTACTAACAGTCCCAAAAGAGGGCTCAAGGAAGTATTTTGTTTTACAGGTACTAAGATCACGTACAAAGTGAATATAAAACCAAACATGATTGCATAACATGTAGAATCTTTTTTGAATGTTTTGTTTTTTGGAAAATCCCTCCATGTATACATATTTGTGTTATGATATGACTGACTCTTTCTGTTAACATCTTGGTACTTTATTTGATCCCATTTTGAGATTTTATCATTGTATATTGTTATTATTTCTATATTTTGTACTTATATTGAAGTTTATTATGTTTGCTTCTGAACTGTACATATGTTGTTTAAATTTGATATTTAATATGGCTACAGCCATATTTGGATTTGATACCGTAGCAGTAAGGACTGGTAACACTTATTCTTTTGGAATAGGATACCCATAGTGGTAATTGTGAATTGGAAGGTGTATTAATAGTTAGGTAACTGTTTGTATTTCCATTTTGTAATGAAAATAGACCGCTTTCTCCTAGAATTATTGTGTTTTTGATATTGGATTCGGGACAGCGCGTTCAACCTACACCTAAAGGAACCGGAGTGAACTGCTAGGGTAGAAAATTCATCTATATAACATACACCCAACTTGTCCTGCAATCGTACACATGAATGAGAAAGTAAGGTAGCCGAAAGCTTAATTTGGTGGAATAATGTATAGACTGAAAGCATTACCAGAAAATGACGGCCTTTTAGAAGGTTTGAGCTATCCTATAAAGCTGTCCTGTGAATTCTGACACTAATGAGAAGTATTGCCTCCATAATAACCTATTATGAACATGTCACTAAACTAGGGTAAACTGTTAAAAATCATAATGATTATTTCTTCTGAAATAAAAATATGTTACAGAGGCAGACCAGTTTTAATACAAGATCTAACTCTTATAAATGCTAATACATTTACAGTAGTGGGTTGCTCAGTTAGAATGATATTTAACAAGATTCACGGGTCATCACCATAGAAGGCTGATACTTTCGGCTTACAATTGTAACTAATGCACAGAATTGCAGTTAGAGCTAATAATGTCGGTTGCACCGCAACAAACGACTGGTGGTCGACTCGGTGCATGCTGATTTTATTGATGGCATTCTACGGATGACTATTTACCAGTCTTCTAGGATAAAAGCCTGTGAACATCCATAATGTTTGAGTGGAACCATTTGCTATGGACTGCACATCTACATCAAATGTAAGTGCAATCAATCAAAACTGAGAGTTCACAATCAGTGTTCGACATGAATTTGCGGAGTGGTTTTCAGTCATGTCTTCAAAACGAGTATGAGACAACCTGTTCTGCCCAGTAAAATCGCGCTGATATTACATAGCCTTACAGCACACTAGACATTGACCCTGACATTGCTGTCTCATGTATTTCTCGCAATCAGAAGTGGTCATCTGAAGGGAAATACTCAGGTATTCAAAATGCTCAGATCAGTTCGTCTACGTTGCAAAATTCGTTTCTCTTATGGGATTGTAAATTACTGTAATTATCAATTGAAATTCTCTTAGCAGTAACTAAAGCTTACATTTCTCGGACAGAACCACACAATCCAAAAACATGCTCTACATGCTTCCAAAGCTTCCAAGGATTGTACGAGGTAATACTACGAATACTGTAGAACCTGGGTATTCTCAGACTAATTTTCCCAAGTCTATTCGACAGAGATGACTTCTTAGGGGTTAACCGATTCAGACGTCCATGCTGGATATACTATAGCGATCAAACAACATAACGTCTTTCCTTGTTTGAGGACAAAATATTATTATCTTTACTATTACAAGGTGACCCAAAGAATGTTATGGAGGAGGAAACACTTCTGGAATTTGATTTAGTAAACATGTCAAATATTTCGTAAGTGTAAGTAGTGAAAAATTTGGAATATATATGAAAAGAATAAACTTGGAGCGGCATTCAGTTTTTCTCATCGAACGATCAGTGACTGGAACCCTTTATTCAAGCAAAATGTATCAGCTCAATCGATGAACCTTTTCAGAATGGATTCGGAGTTCACTTGAAAACAAGCTATACGAACCAGCATGAATCCATGGACCAACTATGCTTATTGCCAAAGAATGGTATGTTTCAAGTAAATGTTGTGCTAATAACGTTAAAGCGCATTTTGGGTAGTTGGATTGTAGGACGTCCTGAATATTCCTTAACAGCTTTATTAGGCCACATTTAGAGCGTAGAAATACGGTGTTTCCACCTCACTCCGAAGAAAGAGCAAACACTCGAATGAATCAGAAGGCGAGGCACACAATTAGTTCGAGGACTGAAGTTCAACCATCACCGAGAGCTCTTCTAGTCATTAGACATTCAACTGCCATAGTACAGGCATCTCAGATATGGCCTTCTAGTGACTAGAAACATTTTCAACATTCCTAAGAACCTCCTAAGTTACCCAAGCGAGCCCATTCTCAACAAAAACCTTGGGGAAAATACCAAAAACTAGAGGCTAAATTTGGCGAAATGAATTTCAGGCACTCATACTACTCCTTACGAGTAGTCAGATTCTGTACTTAATTAAGGTGGTAAACAGTTCTCTGGAGTCCTTCAAGAAGAAACCTGACATATTTTCCAGGACTTGAGACTGTATTTTACCATAACTTACTAATATTTGGCTTTTACGCTTTAAATATACCTAGGTTTCTACCTCGAGTAAAGGTGACCAATCGCTACCAGATACTAAATCCTATTCAGTAAAAAAGTTTTTTCTTTAGTCTGCAAACATTTGAACTATTCGAACCATTTTTACCATTTAAACCATTTGATACTTCAGGACTGGACATCGGAACTAAAGGCATTGCCTTAAATTGTGCGTTACCACTGCTAAGTTTTTAACGTGTTCGAAACATCATGTTAGCACTTATAGTTTTGGTCGCGACATTATCCTTACATCATGCATGTACTATTTCTGGTTATATCGTCTTCTTTCATTAGTTAGTATTCAAATATTTTGTGCCTACTCAATTATCAGTTCACGTTTTTCTTTTCAAGCTTTTCTCACAAACTTTATTCCTTACGCTCCCCCAAAACTCAAATATCCCTCAAGTTAGGGGAATATCACTACAAGCTTTCGAATCATATGAGCAGAAATACGTTAGTCTTTTTCATTCTTCATACCAATTATTTAGCAATTGGCTAAAATATCTCTCCTGTCATAAACGTCATCGTAAACGTGGAAAAGATGGTGATTCGAACTGCACTAACTGTGTAAACAAACAAAGCCCAGACAATATTAAACAGATTGACCAGGATGAAAGTGTTAAGGAGACTTTATCACTGTCAACTATTAGTCATATTCCTGGTGTTGGAGACGGAGGTTCAGCAAGTTTAGGTGACTGGTCTGCTGTTCACCAGCTTGATGGAATCGATGCCTCAAAAGTGAACCTATTATGTGATGGCAACAGCAATAATACATCCTCTTTACTGGGTGTTCTCAACCGAGTAGAATTCTGTGATCGCCTAGAGTCCATAGTTGTTCGGCTTGAAAAGATAGCGCAAGCAATGATTCCAGGTAGGTGCTGCATGGTTTAATTCATTACACAGAAAAAACTACTGGACTGATTGCTTTTGAATCACTTATTGCTAATAGCCTAAAGAATTACATTGCATGTAGTAGAAAGTTGGGAGGAAACATACAATCTCAGGTAAATACAACTTATTGTTTATTTGTAGTCTTTATGTGTTCAAAATGCTTTTGGCTTCGTCAGGGATCTCATTGAATTATCCAGTATTTATAGTAAACCGAGTGAAGAGGATATGGATATTCATTTGAAGCCTCTTCATTATAAGATAATTGAAATAACAGTAAGTTAATTCTCTCTAATAGCTTAAATGAAGTTAAGAATTTCAAGGTTGGAGCGATGTCTGTACGGAAATGTCAATTATCAACTATTGCAGATTCTATTCTTATACTGAATTGGGTTGGGTCTGTAAGTCTATAGGTTCGTAGTATAACAAATCTTAGAGTACAGCACTGCAATACGTGAAAGAATTGAAGGGTTCCACATGGTTGAATGCTAACAAAGTCTTTCAGTATTGTCGTGGGAGGTAAGTTATTTTTGGGGATATAAAAGTTTAAATATTATCATTAACCCAATAGGGGAATTCGATTTATGCATGACGGATTATTTACTCCTAAGGGTCTCTAAGAGTTTTTGAGTTTACGATTTTAAACCATGTTATTCAAAGTCTCACGGACCCCTAACAGATAGTCAGCATCTATTAATACGAATCAGTACAAATGTCGATGACTTCATGAACTAGTGCTGTGTTCCTAGCTTCTTCCAACCTACTTCCACCCCACACACAATCGCTCCTCAAGGTATATGACAGTTGGGCATACCTAACACATTTCTCTTACACCTCAGTTGATGAAGATTCACTACTTCATCAATTGACTTGCCATGTTTACGTAGTACCCTGTTCCTAACCCAGGCGTTACCTGCCGTGATGACCTAACTGAGCTACATTGGCTAGAAAAGTATGTCCCTGAAGGTTCCACCATGCCCAGGCAGGTCGATTGGAGAACGATGAGACTAAAAACAGCTACTCAGGGTCTGAGGGCGAAGTCGTACTGCTGACTGCAGAAGGGTGTGAAAGCAGTAAGGTGTTTCCCTCTGACAACCAGCATCTGCTGCGATTCTGTTTCTCACAAGGAAGGAAGGTTTAGAAAAGGTCGACCCTAAAACTGTCACACCTCACCCTACCTCACGGATTTCCGTCTCCGTCGGTAAGGGCTACCCAATAAGGGCTTTAAAAAGAGCGTAGGTAATACTCAACAAACCCTTCATCAAAAAGGTGACCAGACTCAAGTAGTTGTCCCTTGGACTAAGCAGTCACGCTCCCAGGTCTCCAAGATAGACACTAATCTACCTTCCTTTTCAGGTTTCTCAAGAAACACCCCTCCACTGTGTGGGCAGCCGGGAAGCGACAACTGCCTTCATACCCGTAACAGCACACAAGATCAAATTGGTTACAATCAAATGCTTCCTATTGCTCACTCGGTTGTCCCAAAATACATGAGGAGCACTTCGAATAATACCTATGATCGAATACTATTAACCAACAAATGTCCGCAATTCTTAATGTCATGTTTCACATCCATGAAGTAGAACGAAGTGAACTGTACAGTAAATTCGTCCTATGGTTGACAGGCGGATATCTCGCCTACAACATGAGCCAAACTGCATGATGTCTGATGACATTAATTTTTGCTGAGTAATTAATAAGTGGACCTTATTCTCCAGCTGTGACCAAACTTTTATTTATGCGATTCAAACAAAAAAGCAAACGTTTCTAGCAAAAAGTTGGATAGATTTACACCGTCGCTTGAAGTTCATTCAGAGAAAACATTATTGTCTACTTCGTGGTCAGATAAGAGAGATTTCGCCAAAAAATGCAAAACCAGTTCTACATATAAATGAATTAACTTTTTGTGGGCCTATTCACTTGAGGACGGGTAATTCATCATGTCCTCATAGACTCCATTTTATTGCCTTTACCCTCGCTCATTACTACTAACATTCCATCTTTGGATTAGAATTTCCCTATTTGTGGACTTAGTATTTTGTCTGATATTGTGAAAATTCGTTGATAAAGTTAAATGTTTGTGAGAATATCTAACGAAAACATTTATCATTACAATTCTAACCAAACTACTTTTTTTTCGGGCAAGTGCTTGAAATGTGTAGTTATTGTTCAACGAATTTGGTTTCCAAATCACTAATCGTTTTCTTATTCAAACCTGGCAATCAGTACAAGGTGATTACAGTGTATTGTCTCCTTAACCAATACATAAGTGTTCCAGCCGCAACACTATAAGTATAGTAGTAAAGAGATCGGATCTAACCACTGACATGTTAGATTAAAAATAGGTACGATTTCCGCTAGCGGAGTCTTGGATGAGCACTTCTGATGAGTCCATTCAAGGACTAAATGACAATCCAATGATTCCAGATATCCAAAGGTGATCTAGCAGTGGTCATTTCACAGTTTCATTTAAAATTAAAAATTGTGTTTGACTAAACTGATCTTTTCCTCACGCAGATGTCAGTGAACAGAACGTTCTATTAGAAATAATATCAACCTTTTAGATACCAATTATACTAAAATGGACGTCAACAGAGTCACTTGCTTCAAAGGTAGATTTAAGTCAGCTGACCAATAGGATGCAAAAATAATTGGTATGTTATGGCGCGTAAAATGGGCTTTACGTTGCGGTGAATGTATGTTCGACTGAGAAACATGTTATCTATGAGTTCCACTTGTAAGCAAGCACATTGCTTTCTGACTTTACTCTGATTTTTTCATCATCTCGTTCTTCTTTCCAGCTTATAACTTGTCAACTATATCTCTTAGTGTTTCTTGCTATGATCTAATTTAATTATAGTGTGTATTAATGGAGATCGTTAGAATTTTCTGAATTTTCGTTTTGGTAGCTACTTGATTTTAACTGGTTTGCTGCTTCACTTGCTGGTCGTACCAATATAAACTCTTGTTATTTATTTAATAATGTATCTCCAAAGATATGAGAGAATATGGCTGAATGTTTATTCATCATACCCACCAACGTCGTTCTCTCATTCATTTGTTCGAGATTTAATTTCTCTAATGACGTATCTTTTAGTTTATTTTAAGCTCTAAAATTACTGCAAGCGTCAAAGTGTACATTATCGAACACCTGGAACCGTACCGAAAGAACAAGAATCGAGCGCGAAGAGATCAAATTGGTTTACACTAGCTCGTGAAAAAGATATTGGATATTGGAAAGCTTTCAAAACGTCTGCGCAGTTCTTTAAAACATTTTTCGCTGATGCCAAAAACCCGTTCATCACCGTCAATCCTAGCTTGAAAGTAAAAGAACGTATCCATTACCATGCTACTAATGATTTCTGCTCCAAATTTTCACGAGTGACAAACGTTTTACCTGAAATCGTCATGGCGATTTGGTCTTTGATCTTAGCGGACTACAGTCGAGTATTGGATTACTCCAAATACTAGTATTTAAGACAGTATTAATCAAACCAATGGCCCTATAGTTATCAAAAAACCTTTGTCCGTTCGCACGAACTAAGAAAGTTAATGACTACGATTAATCTAACAGCGCTGCTCATAAAATCCAACCACTAAAACACTCATTATCCTCATTTAACTATGTTCTATGTGATCCTGTTACTTTTACTTTGATAAAATGCCTATTGTACCTATTGTTTGTGTTTCTCTCTCTAAACAAGGTTTTCTGTGTTTTCGTTTAAGATATATCCGTAACCTGAGTTTTAATCATGGCGTATTCAGTGTAAAGTTTCATACTGAGTATGTTCTGGAATCGTTTAAGGTAATATATTGTGGGCACTTTGTTACATTTTTTGACTTTCAGGAAAACTGATAAATTGGTAGAAAATGTTATCCTTTTCAATTTGAATATTTCGAATAGTGGTTGGTTAACGAAAAATTTATACGACGATTTTAGATCCTGTAGTAGAATATGTCTATCCACCAGTTGACGATACAAATCTTTGCTTTAATAAATTGCGAAACTTTGTTCTTCCATGCAGACATGACAGGTCAGTTATATTTGCGTAGTGTAATTTTTTTAAACTTATTTTTACAGTCTTATTTCAGAAGAGTATACTCTTATATTCACGGATATTGATGGGACTGTAGAATTCTTTGTTTGTATTACTTTGCCTATTTCCGGATATATTGTGTGCGTTAGTAGGTAATGCACTTGCTACAATTAAGCTCATATTCTAACTTTTTAAAATAATTATAGTTATTTACCATACTTTGAACTTTTGCATTCAATAATAAAATTGATTAATCAAGATCATTTGTATAGAGAAGAAAACCGATACAATATTGAAATAATTTTAAAAGAATTAAATTATCATTCCGGTTTCGCTATATTAAACGTTTCATCACCAAATTCGATGGTATGGTTAACATTCTATTTTCTTGATCGATCTTTGTTAATAGAAATTGGGTATACAACTTCCAGAACCCCAGTTTCAATTCGTTTATCATGTAATTGTCAATTGTGACATCATTTTGTAAAATTTCAATTTTAGAGACATATCTTAGAGTATTATAATACACTGTCTATCGCAAATTGGATTGTAATATTTGAAAGGTGAGACATTATATAGTTATGTTTACTAATAAAAATTTACTTTCTACGTCTAGCCTAATTATGGAGAAAAGTGTAATATTTTATTCAAGTCGCCTACAACGTGTTACTTCTTGTCTGTTGGCAAGTCTCAGTTTGTTGTACCCACTCATATGGTATTTCTACTCCTAATAAACCTGTTTTTCTATACACATATTCAGGCCTCATTTGATATATACACTGCTACCTTCCAACTGTATTGACTATGTTGGGTAAGTAAGTAATGTCAACGCTTTCCTAATCTTGGTTTTTTTTCTTAAGCTGTCCAACTCCATTTATTGCTGGTGTCCATTCATGTTTAAAAGAGGTTTGTTTAGTCGAATATATCAGATTGAACGCCTACTTTTCTAACAATTCCTATTTTATTTTTTGTACAGAAAATAAAACCGCTCTTAATTCCTGGAGTTCGGCTTGTAGATTTGGATCATGACATAGTATATGGAACAGGGAATATAGGAATGACTATGCCGCCTGTTTTAGTACGTTTAATTTAACTAAACAAATTTTTCTATACTAATTATATATTTGCACTTTAGCATATTATGCCCTATTAAAAACCACCGATTGATCAGGTTTACTTAGAAACTGTCATACAAAAATGCTTTTTGGATGCGAATTTTGGCAGAGTATAGCCTATTTTCAACCTATTGAATTAAATATTCAAACTTCTTTAGTGTCTATAAGATATACGTTTACTGATATAAAGCTCAGCTGAGAGAAGAATTGAACTAGCATTTAACACTAGAATGTATCCATTCTACCCCTTACATTTCACATCATTACTTCAAAAAGCGGTCATCAAAAGAAATAAAAGGATTAAAATCACATTCTAAAATCAGTAAGTAATTTGAGGTAACAAAACAAGTAAGATCACAAAAATGAAAACCGGTTAATCATACAGTATTCAACAATTAAAGAAACATGCAAAGTTAGCATATCTGCATGTCATCACTAAATATCTTCAACTGTTAGTTAGCTACAATCGCAGTCTGTAACTATATTATCTGGAAATTAACCTACTGTTCAAACGAATTTTCTTTCAGTCATCTAAAAGTCGATGTAAATAAGCGTTACTCAATTGTTATCCGTTTTACAGGTCCCCAACCTTAGATAATGGTTATGTCGCAAAACCCGATGACGGAGTCTACCTACTGACACTACGGACTCCGATTGTCATTGGTTTCACATAGATCAATCCATTATATATATATATATATATATATATATATATATATATATATATATATATATATATATATATATATATATAATGATATGTAATTTACATTCCGATTGGCACTGTTAAACGAAGATCGAAATGTTGTTGCTTTTGTGCTCTATGTCGGTAACACAAATATAGTTACATTACTGGGTATCTTATAATTTAAAGATATAATTAATGGTGAAACTTCAGTCTTGGGAAATTAATAATTCTAAATATTTTGCAACGAAATCCGTAAATTTGTTAGTTATTATTCAGTCAGTAACAATGTAGAACTTCATACGTACGTAAATCACTTCAAGTTGCTATACCACATTAGTGCAAAAACACAATCGTCAATTCAAATCCCATAGTAGTAGAGGTAGTAGAAGTAGTAGCAGTGATCGGAGAGATTAGTGTACGAAGATATTATTCAACAACTATTATCTACTGAAATAAACTTAGAAAGAGAAAAGTAGATGTGATGAGGGATTTAGAAGGTTAGAATTTGAGAGAACACAAATAATGAATGCATCTGTGCCGTTGCAAGCGATTTCTAGCCATGTCATTCAAAATCTTTAACCATCGGTTACTACTGTCTCGCGGGCCCTAACCACACAGTATACACCCAACAAGATGGCTCAGTCCAGTTGTAATTGACATCATGGATTTTTGCCATGTTTTGGTTTGGCCGTCCCTAGCTTTCTTCCAACATACTCCTACACCACAAAACGTTGCTCATCGAGGCAGTCAGTTTTGTTGGGCATACGAAGTTTCACTCCTTCATCAATTGGTTTGCCATCCTTACCTAGTATCCGTTTTCTATTTCCATCATTGCTTACTCGGTGGTTTTAGGATATGTGAGCAATGCTTCGAAGACACCTAGGGTCGAATACCAGTAGCCAACCATTATCCTCACTTCTTACTACCCTTGTTTCACAGCCATAAAGTAGGATGGAGCGAACTACTGCTCAGCAAACCCGTCCTTTGGTTGGTAGACGGGTATCTCGCCTACTAGTGATTATTCTCTTTTCTCTTAAAAACAAGTTATGTTTGACACGGCATATTTAATTGTATTATGACCTGAGAAAAAAGACTACAAGCAAATTTGGGAATTCAAAATTTTTCCTCAAAAGTAGATGGATCAAAATAGTTTATTCAGTTTTTTCAACAATAGTTCTGAAAAAATTGTCAGCTTTAATAAAAACACCTTTCGTTTAGCTGTATTCATTAAATGATCTGTATAAAAACCGTAGAAACTTAACTAGAATGCTATATAGCATCAGTTAATATAACCAATGAAACAATCTCATTTACATGTATTAACTAACGTTATAATCATTTCATCAGAACATCATGTTTGTTCATTGTTCATATCTACTCACATAATTAACACCTGTGATAATTTCATTACAATTAGTTCTATCAATCAGATATTACTATCGAATATCTGCATACCGTAGATGACCTGGCTCTTCTATCGCACACGCAACAACAAATGCGAGAGAAGACGACCAGTGTAGCAGCAGCCTCTGCAGCAGTAGGTCTCAACATACATAAAGGGAAAAGCAAAATTCTCCGATACAACACAACATGCACCAACCAAATCAATCTTGATGGAGATGCCTTGGAGGAAGTTAACACCTTTACGTATCTGGGCAGCATCATCGACGAGAAAGGTGGATCGGATGCAGATGTGAGGGCGCGGATCGGCAAAGCGAGGGCTGCATTTCTACAGTTGAAAAATATCTGGAACTCCAAACAACTTTCAACCAAAACCAAAATCAGGATTTTCAATACAAATGTCAAGACAGTTCTACTGTATGGAGCGGAAACTTGCAAAACTACCAAAGCCATCATCTATAAGACGCAAGTGTTTATTAACAGTTGTCTACGCAAAATACTTCGGATTCGTTGGTCGGACACTATCAGCAACAACGTACTGTGGGAGAGAACAAACCAGATTCCAGTGGAGGAGGAAATCAGGAAGAAGCGTTGGAAGTGGATAGGACACACACTACGAAAAGCACCTAACTGCGTCACGAGACAAGCCCTCACATGGAACCCTCAAGGCAGAAGGAAAAGAGGAAGGCCAAGGAACACACTACGCCGAGAAATAGAGAAAGATATGAGAGGAATGAACAAACATTGGACAGAATTGGAGAGGGAAGCCCAGGACAGAGTTGGTTGGAGAAAACTGGTGGGCGGCCTATGCTCCATTGGGGGTAACAGGCGTAAGTAAGTAAGTAATCTGCATACCGTACTGTAAATATGAAATTGTTTGGAATAGGTGTATATCTTTCTTTATCATTTTAGATTTAGTTTTTATTAATAAAAATCAAGATTCTTACATGATGATATAAAAACAGAGCAATCTATTTTAATGATATTACAAATAATGTAGATTTGCATTGATGGTTGCGACACTTTAGTCATACTCATGCAAGTTTCTTCTTATTTGTTTTCTTTTTTTTTTTACACAAAAGTATGCAGTTTTCTATCATTCACCTTGATTAATTTAGTTTTTTTAAGAAATTAGTTTTAAAATTCTCCAATAATTCTGTAAACTTTCATTAATCATAATTCTTGTTCTATTCTTTACCTTATTTTCTAGCGCCATTGGTTAATTAGACGGTGTAATGCTTCACACAGTGCAATTCTACAACATATACACTCAACAGAAAATGTCGCTTCAACTGTTGCATTACTGTTAGCTCGACCATATTTAGAATTGATGGCTATTCTTCTTGGTAAGGTTATTGCTATGCATTGTTTTGTAGCTAAAAAATGTTCTCGTAGTAAATTAATTCTATTCAGAAAAATAAAAAAAAAGTCTGGAAACAGTTAATGCATCCATCTACAAAATGACCATAGAAATTGCGTTAAGTAGTACACTCGAGGTATTAAAGCATCAGTTCCTGGTAAAAATTGTGTCAAATGTTTACTTTACTTGGATAATAATTATATTTTTGATTAATTCAAAGTATTTCTGAGGAAAAAAGTTCCTGAGGTTTGTCGGAAAACGTAATCGCATATTTTTAAAACCACAGGATCAAATTCTGACAAGAGTTTAAGTATATTTTATATATATATATATATTCATAAAATGTTAAATGCTGCGTTTTCATCCCTTGTAGTTGTTATTATAGTGTTCTTAGATTACCGAATTAAAATCCAATAGATTGGTTATTTCATTTTATGTCAGTTTGTTTTATAATGTGATTCTTATTAGATATGATCGATTAACTGTCTTATTCCCGATTTAGTCGGCTTTAGAGTTAATACCGTTTTAATACAACTTCCGGAAATCAATAATTTCGGTCAGTAGGGCGTTCATTGTTATTATGAAGTTAAATTGTTTTTACCAAAATATTTAAAATATCCCGTTAGATTTCACTACGAACTTATGTCACTATATATATATATATATATATATATATATATATATTACAACCGAACCAAAGTTTATAGTGTTAACTATTTTGTTTTGCTTTATTGTTTGTCAAACATATTCAGAGTTATATGGGCTAAAAAGGCTGGCGCTTTCATATTTAGGACCCAGACTTAGCAGATTAATATTTATGCGAGGTTAATTTTAGATGAAGGACGTTCTAAATGTTACAAATACATTTCTAGCGCCACAAATATCTCACTGTAAACATGAACACAGAGTAATAGGTTGACAACCTTGGTGCTTATTATCAAGAAATTCAGCTGACAGAAAGAATTCAAAATGATCTCGATATTACAACCACTGACAACCAGTCAAATCATTTAGAACAAGGCAAACTAAGTAACTAGAGCAAGAAACCTTACAAATAGAACGTGAAAGACTAATTACTGACATTTAGGTTATTCATAGAACAGACCAGTGGAGTTAAACCCTATCGGGTTTAGGCAGTAACTACCAAAGACAACTGGGTGAAGTCACGCAAAATATGTAGATTGATCTGAGTTAGAAATTAACACCGTTGGATGCCGGTCCAGTGGTCCAGTGGTTAAGCATTCGTTCGCAAGGCAGAAGGTCCTGGATTCGAACCCTATGAGGCACGAGTCATGGATGCGCACTGCTGATGAGTCGCGTACGAGGACGAACCCGCCGTCCAGTGCTTCCCGGTTTCTAATTGTGGTCTAGCAATGATTGATTCATGATTTCAAGTGTGTAAAAACAATAATATCCATGACTCTAACTGGCAAAAGGAAGGTAACCAATCAGAAAAAAGATGGAGTAAAATAAAAAATATGTACAGTTGGCATCACGTCAATGGCGAAAGAGTGATGTATTATTTACAAGTATGAAAAAAGGACCGACAAATGAGATATACAAGACTGAAGTTTGTGAAATACAACGTACGTACGCAAATCTTTACAAATGGATGAGCGGGTAGAGCATATATTCAACTATTGTTCTAGGGCATCATCATATTCTGATTATCGATATGTATCGTGGGATAGCCAAGTAAGCAATGCTGTTGTTAGGAATCGGATCCTAGGAAAGAAAAGCAGATCAATAGGCGAAGTAGTAAATCTCCATCAGTTGAGACGGAGTTCTAAATTCCTCTACTAGGTAAGGATGGCAAACCAATTGATGAAGGAGTGAAACTTCGTTATGCCCAACCACTAACTGCCTCGATGAGCAACGTTTTGCGATGTATGAGTAGGTTGGAAAAAAGCTAGTGACGGCCAAACCAAAACATGGCAAAAATCCATGATGTCAATTACAACTGGACTGAGCCATCTTGTTGGGTGTATACTGTGTGGTTAGGGCCCGCGAGACAGTAGTAACCGATGGTTAAAGATTTTGAATGACATGGCTAGAAATCGCTTGCAACGGCACAGATGCATTCATTATTTGTGTTCTCTCAAATTCTAACCTTCTAAATCCCTCATCACATCTACTTTTCTCTTTCTAAGTTTATTTCAGTAGATAATAGTTGTTGAATAATATCTTCGTACACTAATTTCTCCGATCACTGCTACTACTTTTACTACCTCTACTACTATGGGATTTGAATTGACGATTGTGTTTTTGTACTAATGTGGTATAGCAACTTGAAGTGATTTACGTACGTACGAAGTTCTACATTGTTACTGATGACTGACTGCATTATCTATCTGATTTGTGGTAAGCTTTGCTGCCATCTTTACTCAATTAAAGTTACAATTCATACACTTGTTGAATTTACTGTTTTAATTGTTTTCAAGCTACTTATTATTGATAACGTTGTACACCGCCCCTCATTTGTTTTATCTAGCACCCCTAAAAGGTAGTATATTACTCCATGTATGAAGCCTCCGTTAAAATTGTAAAGTGACTAAGCTTTCGAACAATTGCATGCGTTTATATGATTGGTGTACTCTTATTGAGTTTATTAGTTGTAATGCTGTTTCCACTCGTTCTCAGATGACAATCTCCTTTAAAATCTGAATTTTAAAGTTCAATGCCTCATACTTATTATGTACGAACTTTTAATCTGACTATGAACAGTGTTTTACCGCATTTATTTCTTTTATTTTCTCTAAACAGGTCGCTATCGATCAGCATTACAGCATAATGAAGCATCTCCATCTATCAATCTTTTACCGATACAATCAGCAAATACTGATAATCGATTACAGGATAAATTTGATCAACCTCGTATTGGTGGATGGTTTTTTGATCGTGCTGCATTTGTAATTTCTTGTGGTCATGAATTACAACCTTATCTTACAGAACTTTTAAATTCTCAAATGGTGTTACAAGTGAGTTAGTTGATCATGTAAACAGTTGACTGTTTGCATGCCTACCTATATACACCACTATATCTGTTATTTGCCTGAGATGAAAAATACTAACACTCAGTAAAATTGAAAATTAAGGAATTCATTTGTACTGAAGAAAGATTAGGAGTGTTTCCGAAAATTTATTGATCAACTATTCAGTTGCTAATTAAATTGAAAATGATCATTTTCATGTCAAATGAAGTTACTTGTTGTAAATTAGATGAACGATAATAGTTGTGCAATGGAAAATGCATTAGGATCAAAGATAAGATTCAAGAGAATATAAATCAGTGAAAAATGAAAAAGTATAATAAATTCAGAAACTTGGTATTTGTGAAACAACAAAGAATATAGATGCACCTGAGCCACGGCAAGCAATTTTGAACCATCTCATACAAAGTCTCTGACTACTCGTGATGATTAGCCCGTGGACCCTAATCAGCTATTCTTCACCTGCCAGCATGGCTCAGTCCAGTTGTCAGTGACTTCATGGATTTGTGCCATTTCTTGGTTTGTCCGCCCATAGCTTTCTTCCAGCCTACCTCTGCATCACAAAAAATCGCTCGTCGAGGCAGTTGGTGGTTAGGCATGCATTATACATATCCCAACCACATCAACTGATGAAGTTCCACTGCTTTGTCAATTGATCTGCTATCCTTACCTAGTACCTGTTTTCTAACACCAGCATTGCTTATTCGGTGGTCCAGAGAAATACGAGCAGTGTTTCTAAGAAACCCATAATCGTAAACCAACAACCTACGAATATCCTCTACTCTTACTGGCCATATGTCACGCCCATAGGACGGAGCGAAGTGCTGTGCAGTAAACTTGTCGTCTGGTTAACTGACGGATATCTCTTTTACACGGTGAGTGATGCAGGTTGACAGAAGCGGTCGAGCCTTCTGTATGCGTGCTGAGTTCTCGTCAGACATCAGGCTATCAATATTGATGAGACTCCTATAATAAATGAGGCAATTGAGGCTTTATGATTACGATGATATAAACACTTGTGCAATTAATTCAGTTTAGTGTTTTATAAACATATATTCATTTGTGCTGCCTACAGATAACAATCCTATCGCTAACCAAAACAATCCAATATACATATTTTTGCTACCAATACACTTTGAAATTCCTTATGAAACTACACTTCTCTGTTTACTCATATTAACGATGACCATATAAGTCCATATAACCATTTTTAGAATACGTCATAACCACATGCTCACCGGTGGCTCATTTCGACAGATAATCCCCGTAGTGGTAGTGAGAACCTGTGACTAATTGAGTGTCAAATGTGAAGTGGTTATCCGTTGATGGGATTGGATTGTATCTGCACAATATTGAGAATTGATTGAGGTTAGACATGTGAACCATTAGACGCCAGCCAATTCATTAGTCTAAAGGTTAGGCATTTATCTCAAAACTCAAAAGTTCTGTTCTTGATCCCTAGTCGAGTCATGAATGAAATAACTGTTATGTCCTATACCTGGACTGAACAATTGTTCAGTTCTCTCTATTTTTCAATGGTTATCTAGCCAAGATTAGCTTATGGTGTAGATTATAAAATCACTATATCCGACAAATAATTTATTCATTTACCGTAATTGGTAGTCCATTTTATTCTTATGACGATGTGTAGGAGTCAGTGTCATATATATATATATATATATATATATATATATATATATATATATATATAAAGATTGTTATATATTATTGAACGTTATGTATATATTATACGAAATGTAAAAATACATAATTTTGTCTGTCTGTTCGCCTGACATCATTAATATTCAAAATGGAAGTTGTTTACTTATGTACAATACAATTTAGTAATCTATCAGATTGTCTACTTCCTTTTTGTTTTAAAATATCAATTCATTATTCAAGCTATATAACAAACAACTAATGATTAATGTATGCAAACACATATCCTCTCTCTCTCCCTCTATTCTTCCAATGTAAGTATTTTATCACGTACATGTAAATTGTTTAATTGCACTTTGACGTACTAAGAAAAGAGGACATGACGATTTTTTACTTGTTTTGGAGTAGCAGTTTTCTTTCGTATAATCTGGTTAGTCTTGTTGTTTTATAGGCGATCTTCATAGAGGTATTTATTCTATGGTTTATTATTATTCCAGTAATTTCTTCTGCTTTAAAGTGAATATATGAGCAATTGGTTTTCTTGTCCACTGTCTTGTATTTAATATATTCTTTGGTTTTGACATATTTCGATTAATTTCAGTGGGTATTCATATTTGCTTGCGTAGACAGGTTTTGTTAATGTCATGTTCGTCTTCTGTGTCTTCCATTGAATAGAGTTTACCGGTGTTGTCAAAAACAATTTGTACAACCTAGTTTTCATAACTGATTAGATAGAAGTTGTTGTAGTTTAGCCTAACTCCATTCCATGTATCTTTGTGGTCGTTGTGCTTTTGCAGTTGACCATTTGAAGTTCATTTGATTTTAACATCCAAGAAATGAGATTCTAGTTCATGTCCCATAGTAAAATTTATATCGTTATAGCAGGAAGATATTTGGTTAAATGTCTCACAAGCAGAGCAAAAACAACTTGCTCAATGTCTACCTTAAGGAAGGAGTCGGAATTTATTAACGACTTACTGAGTGAGATTGGCTACTCAAGTGGTTTTTAAAGTATATATATAGGAAGAAAAACAAGTCGGAGATTTTGACCATTCGAAAAAACCTTTATACTAAAACTACAATTCAATGGGAATGTGGCTAGCAATTTCTTGCCTGATAGATTAGCGAAGGCAATTAGTAAAGCATTCTGCTCAAACAATCTTGCGTTGAAATTTTCTAGTCCATCAGCTCTATCTACTCAAACGTAAGATAAATTACCTGAATTGGTCTCCTTAATATGCATTTATGAATTCAGTTGATCCTGTGGAGATAGCTATGTTGGGCGTACTACCAGGCAACTGAACCAACGATTGGGTGAACTTCTTCCAGCATGGTTTTTTTGAGGGCCCGTTAAAAACAATACTCAGCTCTATCTTGGCACAATTGATTGGTAGTGGTCATCATATAGATGAAACCGAATCATTTTGAATGATCTATCGTTTACCTCTATCATTTCCCAACGGAGTTTGATGCCGTCTCCATCATGTAGCAGCAGCCATACGAATCCCAACATCCAACCCCAGTTCATGTGTTTAGAAGGAATTCGTAATAACCCTATTTCTTCCTTGGTCAGATATAACTCCATAAATAATTTTATTCTATTATTATTAGTATTATTTTCACATCCTATATTTCTTTGTAATTTGTTCTGCTCTCTCCGTTTATGGTCTTCACTATCTAATTATTTACACATTTCTTATTACATAGAGCTTTATGATGATTCTTTTGTCTATTGATCCAAGTTTGATCTACTGCTTCCAATGTTGAACTATGTTGACAAAAACTTTTGTTATTGCAATTTATTATTTTTACCACTAATTGTACACTTGTCTTCTTATTATCAACTTACGTATAATGTGTATTGACATAATCTCTATTTCATTGTATTATTGACTCATAAATTGTTTTGATTGGTTTAACATTGTCATATAAGTATTCTAGTGTATTAGAGTATAAAGCCTGATGAAGATCTAATTGAAAACAATAGTGTTAGCTTACATGTGTTGTTCTAATGGAAATCTTCGCTAAACTGAATCTGATTTTCTGTACGCCGGAATGATTCTTTGGTTCATCTGTTTTTTTCGTTCACCCAATCAAATGATTCATCTTATCAGTTCCCTGGCCCCTATGTTGTTGAGTTCCATCTACAATTAACCTCACAATCGTTCATGTACACATATTTTGTCTGTAATCGTTACGAATGTTAGTGTTAATCTTTTAATTTGTCCACTCATTAGTGTCAATTGCTTCATATAATATCATATCACAATGTTGTTACACTTACTTATAAATGTGGTTTTATGCAGCTGGTGAGGAACCTGAAAATATATTATGAGTACATGTAATTCTGCTCCAATTGTTGTTCGTAGCATTCAGCACGGATGCAGAAGTCTCGACTCGCTTTTGCCAACTTGAGTTACTTGTGGCGTAGGCGAGATATCCGTCAGTTAACCAAACGTTGTTTCTACAGCAGTTCGCTCCGTCCTAATATACGGGTATGAAACACGGCCAATAAGAAGCGAGGATATTGGTAGATTACTTGTATTCGGTCGTAGGTGTCTTCGAAGCATTGCTCATATTTCTTCGGACCACTGAGTAAGCAATGATGGAGTTAGAAAACGGTTACTAGGTAAGGATGACAAATCAATAAATGAAGTAGTGAATCTCCATCAGTGGAGGTAGTTGGGACGTTTGTTACGTATGTCTAACCGCCGATAGCTCCAACGAGCTATGTTTTGTGTTTTAGGGGTAGGTTGGAAGAAAGTTAGGGGTGGCCAAACCAAAACATGGTACAAATCCAAGAAGTCATTGACAACTAGACTGAGCCATGTTGGTAGGTGTAGACTACCAGGTTGTGGTTGGCGATACATTAGTAACCGACGTTTAGAGACAGAATGACATGACTCAAAATCGTTTGCAATGGTGGAGATGCATCCAATTTTTGTGTTCTCTGAAATTCTAATCTGAATTCCTTCATGACCCTCATCTTTATCTTTTCAAATTTATTTCACTAGATTATACTTCCTGAATAATATCTTTGAACTCTAATGTCTCCAATTACTGCTCATACTTTTACTACCTCTACCACTATGGTATTTGAATTGACAATTGCATCTCTATGCTAGTGTGGTGTGGCAACTTGAACTGATATCCGTATGTACGAAGTTCTATTTTGTTACTGACTGACTGATTGTCTTTGTAGCTTTGTTCGCATTTGTAAAATGAGCCTATTCCAATATATGACTTTTTCCGAGGTTTCTTCTAATGGCTCTTCCAGTCAACATTATTTTGCCGCCTATTAAAACTATGTAAATTCATTGTTTTTAAACGATTGCATTGATTATAACAGCGCATTGCTTATGTCTGTCAAATGGTCTCGCGAAGTGACTGTAACAAGTTAAATGAAAACAGACACACCTCTCAATCGTATTGAAGTAGATTATTCGTTAAATCTATCACGTAGTAGCTTAGGCCCTGAACTATTAAACATCTATCAGAGATTTATTACTCATTAAACTACTGTCTACCCTGATGAGTAATGTTGCACAGCATAAGAATGAGTTTGGTAGTGATTAAACAAAAACATATCACCACTAAACTTTATCATGTCTATAAACAGCATTGCTCTTTCGCATTTGATAAACAGTGAACATAATATGGAGCCACAGGTAGCGTTGTCCTGTTTTTCATTTCGGGTTATTTTCCAAAACTGGACAAGATTATGCCCCACAGATCGATAACTCTTTATACTATCCTTACCGATTACTTATTCTTAATTGTTCATTCATATTCCTTGGCCCTCATGATATTTGATTACATTATTATTTTCATACTTTAAATCACGAACTTACATTAGCTAGACCACCATTAAAAACTAGAAAACAATGAATAGCTCTTTCGTTCTTATATGAGACACCTCTGTAACGCGTATCCACGACTCCACTAATCAACGAATCCATAATCCTTAGTCTCATGTGTGAACACAACCTCTAGAACATGGTGCTGGCATTCAACGGTCTATGTGTCTAACCTCAACCAATTTTCTATATATTGATAGACAATCTTTCATTTCCTGCGGAGTTCCATACTCGGACGAAACACCTATCTAGTTTTTCTGGTTGTTCAATAGCAGTCTAACTAAAATCAGACAAACAAACCATCTTGTTTTGACTATTATTAACATGATAATAACATCTTTTCCGTTTTGTTATCGCTTGTATATGGTTTTAGTCTACTAAAATATAATTTTACTTAACCCTTCTACACATGACCTTTTAAATTTACTAATAACGCATTTTAATTTGTATTTAAGATACAATCAACGTCAAACCGCCGATCGTTAATTTATAACACTGACTAATTCAATTACAGTTTTCATAAATACACCTTATTATCATGTTTATTATGATGCAATTTATGTGACTTTAAAAAAATAATAAGATTTCTTGTAATTTATTTTTGGGTTCCTGTGTGATTAGACGAACAATTGTATTGGTCTGTTGTAAATATTGATTAGATCACCTTGACTTTATCTAATACCAACGACCTTCGACTAACTAATGACACGACTTTAAATGAAATAACAGCTGAGAGTAATAATACTTAATGACTCATTCATCCAGAAAGTTTTTTCCTACACTTGCTTGCCCGGTAAACAGAATAAAATAAATAAAATAAAATCTAAATACTAACTTCATGTAGAACAGACAGTCTTAAAAGTTCAAATTCGCTTAATACTTATCCTGTTATGGTAATAGATAACATTTGACTTTTCTGTTAAACCTTTTTTCTAAAAATCATAATCATGAACATTGAATGATAATGTTTGTTTGTCCATTTTCTTCATCATCATCATCATCTTTTAAACTTTTCAAAAGTTTTTTGAATCACGTGTGGCCATTTTGAATTCCGATGTTGCAATTATTCCACCGGATGATTTTGAAGATATTATTGATCATGTTTCCATACCGAAACGTTCTAATGGATTAAATGATTTTTTAAATTTCGGTCGAACGGAATTCGATAAAATAACTCGAAAAGTAAGTTTTTTTTCAAGTGAAAAAAAAATGCTGACTAAATTTACATGACCATTATAAATTAGAAAATCAAACATTTCACTTTTTTGTTTTTCAATGCACTGAAAATATTATCTCCTTTTTTTATTGATTGATGATTAACGTTGATATTCAAAATTCACGTTATTTGGTTGTTTTTTGTTTTTGGTGAAATTTTCATTGAAACGAGAATTCTGTAGTTTTCTCTATGAATTCTTGGTTGTGTATTCACAAATTGACTGAATAATGTTACAAACTTTGTATTGTAAATAGCGTTAATTAGTATTTGTAGTGTACGGTACCAGCTTTCGGCTGATGAGTGACAGGTCGAAAAACCCGCTTCGCGTACTTAAGTTTGGACAACTGAATTTATATTATTATTTTTCTAATTCTAAGCAAAGTGGGTTGATGAGCCAGTAGTTAAAGCATTCAGTGTTCATTCACTGAGTAGTAGTAGTTTGTCGGAACCCTGCCACACCATTGGTTTGGGCATGCAGGCAGTACCAATAGCCTTCACATTAACAGTGTAGATCAAAGCTAAAGTACATGAGTCTGTAATCTAGTAAATGACTTATTCATATCGAGATATCGTCATACAAACAGTATGACTCAAAGCTGTGTAAATAAGCATATTTGATGATTAGTTATATTGCAGCTATATATATATATATATATATATATATATATATATATATATATCGAGTTTTGCGCAACCGACTATATGTGTATGTTTTGGATGGTAGACACGTGAAATTCATTCACTCATGTGATGTACAATTTTATATGTGTGATATAATGTGATTTATAGATGTTTATAAGTCGACTTCCAGAATTTTATTTCAGTATATTAGTAAATTATAAAGTAGCTTTTCAAAAATATTTTTTCTAGCACGTCTTATTGACATATAATGTAAATATAAATATATATATATATATATATATATATATATATATATATATATATATATATATATATATATATATTACATAAAACTGTTGAAAATGACAGCTAATTAATATGTAAAAGCCAAGAAATTTTACTTGAAGGAATCGATTATGTCTGTTAGAGTTTCCGGTTCTGGAGCTGGCACATAACAGTTAAACACTACCACACCCGACCGTAGCTGCTACCTTGACGTGGTGGTCGGGCTTGACTATCGTGATCAACCAACCGAGCTATATTGGCTGAAACATATGTTCCTGAATGTTCTACCATGTCCAGGCAGGCCTATTGGAAAACGGTGAGACTAACAGCAACAACTTAAGGTCTGAGGGCGAAGTCGTACTCCTGACCGTAGAGAGGTGTAACAGCAGTAAGGTGCTTCCGTCGGACAACCAGGATCTGCAGCGATGCTGCCTTCTTACAAGGAAGGAGGGGAATTAGAAAAAGTAGACCTAAAAATGTCACACCTTTTAAACAAGAGCGTGACCAGCCTCAAGCAGTTGTCCCTTGGGCACTGCGATCACGCTTCCAGATCTCTAAAACCGACACTTATCTACCTTCCTTTTTAAGTCCCTCAAGAAACACATTCACAATGTGGGCAGCCGGGAAGTGAAAACTGCCCTCATACCCGTAACAGCACACGAGACCACATTGGTCACAATCAAATCCTTCCTAACCTGAACCGCTACCAGAAGAAGACGAAGCGTCGGAAAAAATTGTTTTATTCCAAAGGGACAATCTTATTTTGCATAGTAACAAGAGCATGTCCTCCAAGTATACTGAAAAATAGCGGGCTAGAACTTGTGGTAACCAATCAGAAACAAGCGAAGTGTGGACTATGTTTTTATAACAGGTTTTTGAAAGTATTCAGTATGAAAATCGGAACCTAGGCTTCCTAGCCAGTTGGCACTTACTAACATGGCGTGCCTGTATTATTCAAAGGACTGGTGCTCCCAGTGGTACACAAACCTACGTCACACACTTTCACGGCCTGTTCTGCTACCACAGAGCTATTCGGGTCGTGACCAACCTCCTGTAAAACTGAAGTATTTACATGAATTGATCACTGAGGGAATAGCGGCCAATGTTATTGCTATGATTAGGATTTGCATAAATCTTCTTCTACATAATTAGTCAGCAAACATTCTTTATTCAGCATGTTAGTTAATCGTTTCTAATCAAACATTTCTACATATATTTACGAATATTTCAGCTGACGCGGGAATCCGAGAAACTTTCAAAGAAAGTAAGCTTGTAGTGCCTCCACATTTATTTGCATCCGCTTACATTTAATTTGCTTAAGCCCTTTCGATTAATTTATTTAACCAAGCCATTCGCTTAGCAACAACTTGTATGTACCATTGTTATTTTTTATTATCTGGTTTGTATGAGCTTATACGACTGAGCATTGCTTACGCTTACGCACTTACTCATCCTTTTCGCTTTAATGTTAATCTCGTAATTTTCCCATGAACTCACATGATTTGTATCGCTTGCTTTTGACCTTGTCAATCATTCGTCGCTTTTATTCATGTGTGTGCATACCTATTTCGCTTGTCATATGTCTGTCTTATTCTTATCTGACTATATATTCTTAGTCATACTCTATCTCTTTGAGTTGGCTCACTAGCCTTCTCCACGTCGCTTCTCCAATTCGCTTCGCTCATTCGCATATTCGCTCGCTAGTGTATCTGCTCGGTCTATATGTGGTGTGCCTCGAATAAATGTATACGATACTTGGAGTTTATCTTCTGATTTATAAATCGAGCTTAAGAACACGCAGTAAATAGGCACACTACAAGCTTCATATCATTAAATTTCTTCTGTTAAACTGTTCCCATATATATATATTCTTCTGATGCATAATGTCAAATTTTCAAGTTTTACATGAAAATATTTCTAAAACTATGTTTTCTGTTCTATCTTACTTAATCAAATAACACATCATTGTAGATCTTTGATAAGATATCGATTTTTATATTTTACAATAAAATTTTTATGTTGGTTTGAACAATGTCAATAAATGAATTTATTCTGTTATTTGACCATCCTGCGGGGTGCAGGAGTCGTGGATGCGCACTGCCGATGAGTCCCATACCAGGACGAAACGGCCGTCCAGTGCTTCTAGGTTTCTAATGGTGGTCTAACATTGATCGATTCATGGTTACAAATAAAACTTAACAATCTTCACAACAACCCCGCAATGCATCCAGAGTAAATCATTCAACCACTTTTTTTCATTTCCCAATGTTTTGTCAGTTCAAAATACCTTTTGATGACTTGTATTTCTACTTGATAAGCACTCTTCATAATTAGTTAGTCCAGGTTTTATCTCCTAAGACTTCTCTCTTATCCGGAACATAATATTATACTACAAGAGGGAGGCGTTTGTATTTTTTCTATCCATGTCATTCACTGTCTGCTTGTCTTTACTGTCATTCTAACAAAAGTATTCGTTTCAGAATCAATATTTGTATGGTTTTAATGATTTTCCATTTATTTTATGCTTGTAGATTAGAACTATATCAAGAAGTCATAGAACTTGTGTTTATTATCATATTCTCAATACCTCTGTTAACAAAGATGATTTATTCAGGTTGTAAAAGTCAGTTGCAACGTAGAACTTCGTACGTATGTACATAAGTTCATGTTGCCATACCACATTATCACAGAGACGCAAATGTCAAATCAAATCCCTTAGTGATAAAGATACTAGAGGTATTAATCGTAATAAAGAAGACTAGAGTTAGAAGATATTATTCAAGAAGTATACTTCAGTGAGGTAAAGTTAGAAAGACAAAGGTAGAGGTGTTGACGAATCCAGAAGATTAGGATTTGAGAGAGCTCAAAGAGTGGATGCACTTGCGCCACTGCAAACGATTTTGAGCCATATCGTTCAAGGTCTCTAACTATTGATGACTTTCGTCTCGCGGACCCCAACCAGGTAGTCTAAATCTACCAACATGACTCAATCCACTTGTCAGTGACTTCATGGATTTGTGCCATGTTTTTTTGGTCTGACCGCCCCTAACTCAGGTTGTAAAAAAAATTCGAGTAGTGTCTCATTCTCGTAAAAAATCAGTATAATTGTAGATTTCTCTCCATGAAAATGAATATTTCAATGAAACATTTAATTCTCAATCAATAATTTGCAAGTTTAAACTTTCTAACACGTAATTCGGTTTAAATTATAAGGTTTTTCCTATAAGTTGCCATATAGACATTGTTGATCATAGATGAATACACGAATTTGTACTACGATAAATATTATAGATAAACACTTAGACACTAACTTCTTAACTATTTCTTAGTCCCCAGAATTTTTATTATTCTAAAGAACTCTGAATAGAAAACAAGAGACAGTTAGCATACAAAACATTTTTTAATCTTATAGTTAGTTTATGCATAGAAAGTCAATCTCTTAGTTAGAGATTATGTGTAACTATGTGATTCAATAAAAATTTCTATAAAAAAACATGCCAAATTAAGTGACGAATATTCATTAATTAATTATCCAATCAATGGAATAAAAGCATAGTTTCACACTTTTTAGAATTTTCTTAAAAAAATTTTTTTAATAAACAATGATTAGTCTAAATACTTTACTGGCGTCTGAAGTCTCTTTCAAGGGCTCTTAACGATTTGATAAATAAGTTTCATGTATTATTAATTAATTAATTGATTAATTCATAAGAGAAATGAAAATCACAAAGGATTAATTGGTTTCTTTGCACTACTCATCTTATTAGTTCTCATGTCAATCATGTTCATTAATAATCGATAGCTGTTTTGATGCTTTTCGTTCTAAAACACACATAACTATTTTACACTATTATGAAGTTGAACATGTTGACTGCTTCACTTATCTTCAGAGTCTTATCATCGCTGATGGTGACTGACGAAATGTCAGCACGGATACAGAAGGCTCGATTGGCTTTTGCTAACTTGCGTCACTTATGGTGTAGGCGAGATATCAGTTCGGTAACCAAAGGACGAGTGCACTGCGCAGCAGTTCACTCTGTCCTACTATACTGTTGCGAAACATGGCCAGTAAGAGTAGAGGATATTCCTAGTTTACAATAATTTGATCATCCGTCTCTTAGAAGCATTGTCCGTGTATCGTGGGACAACCGAGTAAGCAGTGCTATCGTTAGAAAACGAGTACTACTCAGGGATAGCAGATCAATAGATGAAGTGGTGAAACTTCATCAGTTGAGGTGGTCGGGATATGTGTTACGTATGCCTAACCACCGATTGCCTCGACAAGCTATGTTTTGTGGTGTAGGAGTAGACTGGAAGAAGGCTACGTGCGGCTAGACCAAAATATGGCACAAATCCATGAAATCGCTGACAATTGGACTGAGTCATGTTGGTAGGTGTAGACTACCTGGTTGGGTTCGGCGAGATGATAGTAACCGATGGTTAGAGACCCTGAATAACATGGCTTAAAATCGTTTGCAATGGTACAGGTGCATTCATTCTTTATGTTCTCTCAAATCCTAATCTTCTAAATTCCTCATCACCTTCATTTTTCTCGTCTAAAATTTATTTCATTATGATATACTTCTTGAATCATACCTTCGATCCCCAATCTTCTGCATTAACGCTAATACTTCTACTAGATCTATCACTTGTAGGATTTGAAATAACGATTGCATCTCAGTGTGCTAATGTGGTATGGCAACTTGAACTGATGTACGGACGAAGTTCTACGTTGTTACTGACTGACTGGTTGAATATTATGAAACAGATATATTGATTTTTAAAGACTGGTACAATCTGTTACCACTGAACTTTTATGATTTAGTTAATAGACTGTCTCTTTGCATCTTCTGGTGCTTCTTCCGCTTACGCTCTATTCTGGTTTGTAATATTCCTTGAATGATTACTACTGTGAATGACATGGCTCAAAACCGTTCGCAATGGCGCCGGTGCATTTATTCTTTGTGTTCTCTCAAATCCTAATCTTCTGGATTCTTCAAAACCTCTAGTTTTGTCTTTCTAAACTTATCTCACTAAATTATACCTCTTGAATAATATCTTCTAATCCTAACTTCTCCGATTACTTCTAATACCTTTACTACCTCTTCTACTATTAGATTTGAATCGACAATTGCATCTCTGTGCTGATGTGGTATGGCAACATGAACTGATGTACTTACGTACGAAGTTCTACGTTGCATCTGACTGACTGATTAATACTGATAGTAACTTTTTTTTATCATTAATATCAAGTATAATGATAATATATTTGATAAAAAAATGTAAAAAGTTAATTTTTAGTTTTAATGTTTATCCACCTAAATAGTTACTTTTTTCATAGTTTGGACCACGAATTGATCTTATTTTGACTATCATTGAAAACTTGAGAGCAATAGACGGCCGCTTCATCTTAGAATCAGACATCTCAGCAGTGTACATCTGGACGCTGAATCCAGGACTTATTCTTTTGGTGATAATAGTCCAACCACTCGATCAATTGTCTCACAAATATAAGTAGTTCACTAGAGATTTTAGTTAATTAATGAGACAATGGGCGCGTTTGCGCAAAATCTAATATTGATCACAGTTAGACATTAACACTGTTGGGTGCCATCACCGTGGGCCAGAAGTTAAACGTTCGTGTGCAAGGTTCTGGGTTCAATTCCTGCTAGTAGTGAGAGTCGTGGATGAGCACTGCTGGTGATTCTCATACCAGGACGAAACGAACGTTTATTGCTTTCAGTTTTCGAATGGCCGTCTTACAATGATTCATTCATGATTACAATAATAAACAACAATCTCTATTACTCTATAATGAAAAACACAGTTTGACTTAGTATTGTTGTTAGTACTGTTGTTTCAAATAATAATCAATTATAAAAATTCTATTTACACATAATCATTTCAGTTATCGGTAGTACTTTCGTTTGAAAAATAAAATCAAACAACTTTCTCAGTAGCAATAATAGTAGTATTCATAGTAATTATCTCCAACTATGATAAATAACTCGAATTATTTTCCTTTTATCTAAAAAGCTCAATAACTTAATCTAACTAAATTAAATATGTTCAGAATTTTCAAAAATCAAACAGATATTATAAGTTTAACCTTTCTGAGAAAAATAAAATTTTAGTTACATTTTAAATGACATTAATTGACGAATTTTTTTTTCTCTCTCGTATAAACAACATCGATCAATTAACTTTGTTCAATTTTATTTACGATACATTTTGCAAGCCAAATCATGTGTTCATATAATGATT